GAGACTTGATGTCATATTTGTTAAATTAAGTACTTCCTTGACTATTAAGTTTAGCTCGAGTCCAATGTCATTTGAGTCCAGGATCAAGCTCTAACTCAAGTCCAATGAGTTCAGATTCAAAGGTAGTCTTTTACAGTTATTTTAAATATGAGTTCTTTTGCATTTAGTTCAAATCTTTATTCAAGCATAAGTCTAAGTCTTGTTGTCCAAATCAAGTCCTCTGTGGTCCGTGTCTTGTTCAAGTTTGTTGTCCACAAGTCCTCTATTATTTTCTGATTTGAGTTCAAGTGAGCCTTGTAGTTGCCCCAAACTACAATCTCAAGTACAAGTTCTATGTTTTATGCGGTCCAAGTCTTTTGATGAATTGTCCAAGTTCAAATTAAGACTTCTTGTACCAAGTTCATTGTATTTGAGCTCTAATTTGTGTTTGTGTTATTGTTCTTTGAGTTCGTTGTCAGCTTCGGTCCACATTCAAGTCCACTTTCATTTGTTCACTTAGGTACATTTGGTTCAAGTGGAGTTCAATTTGTTTATCTTTCGAGTTCAAATGAGGTCCAAGTATAGCATTGTGTTCACCCAAAATTTCGGCAGCCTTCCAACGTCTACCCCGTTTAAGAGAAAACTGCGGAAAATTGGGCCTTTTCCACCACGCTAAGAAAACCGTGTATTGTAGATCCCCTCTTTCAAGGACACCGCAGTTGTGTAATTTTTTATTCCCCACCACGCTAAAAAACGCGTGTATGGATATTCTGCAAAAAAGGTTTTTTTTTTTGAAAATATTTTGCAAGAAAAGCATTTTTTGAAATTATTTTGCAAGAAAAATAGTTATTTCCCCACAAGCGGGTACTTATGGGTATCCCCGCTTCATCTTACGCATTGCACTGGGTTCCCATCTCACCACGCTAAGAAAAGCGTGTATAAGCGGGGAAATCTATAGCGATATGAACTTCGAAGAGGGATTTAGGTGATTACCCGCTTCGTCGCAAGCGTCGTGACGCACTCCCTCCCACCACGCTAAGAAAAGCGTGTATAGGTGGTCGTTTTGTCTCGATGCATGCGTTGAAATGAGTTCTCGGAGTTTTAGGGTTTAGGAGTTATACCTTGGCGGCCGTCGGCGCGGATCGAGGGAGAGAAGGATTTTGCATTTTTTCTTCTCTTGTTTAGTAATAATCATAATTTATAATCATTAATAATTAATAATAATTATGATTATTAATGATTAGGAGTAATTATGATTATTACTAATTA